GAGAGAGAGAGAAAGACAGACAAAGAGAGAGAGTGGATGACGTCGCCTAAGGAAAAGTTTGGAAATTGACATGCAGCGTAATCACAATGTATTCATCCTGATGAAAATGCAATCTTGCTCTACTTTATCAAAACCCAAAAAGGGAGAACAAATCTTCTACAAGGACCATGTGCTGCATTCTATTACAGCTACTGCTAAAAGATTTAAACACAGCCAAAACAACAAAACTGAAAGAACTAGACTTTCTTTACCTGAAGAATTGCCATTCATCTAAATACTGCTTAAAGCAGACACAGTGAAACGGCACTGCAGGAGAGCCAGCAGTTCCAATAATGAAGATAGAAGATGACAAGATCTTTCTTCTATACTGGAATACACTTGATATTGACCATCTCCTTCTTGGCTGCCTTTGTTTAATTACCCATGACCAATTAGTTTTTTTCCCCCTCTTTGAACCTGGCAAAGCTGACATCAGATAGATGACCTTCTCTCTCTGAAGGTTTTGCCTTAAAGCCAGCCGCCTGTAAACTCAAAGCCTTCAGGCAATCACCAGCCAGCCCAAGTCAGCAGATACTCAGACAGAGGTAGAATACAGAGTAAGGGACTGTCAAAATAACTCACAATACAGCAGAAGACAGTCCATAGATTTAAGAACTTGGAGGTGGGTAATGTCACTCACACTATTCTGACTCAGATGCTAATCCTTTATTTATTATTTTAGTTCATCAAATGTAAGTAGAGCTGAAACTATTATTATTAATCAATCAGAAAATGAATTCATCGCACATTTTGGAGAATTGAATCATAATTTAAAGGTCCAGTGTTTTAACATTTAACAGGATCTACTGGCAGAAATGGAATATAATAGTATGTCTTAATCAGTGTATTATCACCTAAATATAGGAACTGTTGTTGTTTTTGTTACTATAAATGAGCTGTTTATATCTACAGACGCTGCGGGTTGCCTTCCATTGAGTCCACCATGTAGACTCACCATGTTTTTACAGTAACAAAGAACGGGCAAAACAAAACACAGGCTGTAGATAGGGCCTTTCACCCTATTTCACAGCCACCATAGTTTTTCCTACATACTGCATCCCGTTTGTATTCCAAGACTGTCAAAATACAGACGAAAGCAGTGTTAAATTAGTTTTAATCTGCAACTTCAACCACCTAGATGCCACTAAATCCTACACACCGGCCCTTTAAGCAGTTTTTTTGAAAGCAAAAGGATTCTAGTTTCTCAAATACGAAGTATGGACTATTGGTCAGACATTTTACAGAGTAAAAATGTTGTCTGATAACTATCAGATTGATTGATTAATAATAGAAATAATTAATAAATTAGTTGCAGTTGAAAAAAATGAGGCCTGCTGAGTTTGGGTAGCATTTTTGCTAATGTTAATCTACTGCAGATCTACTTCTGCTTCTTCAGCAAAAATACTTTCACTAGTTCTCTCCCCCCTCCATTGTATTTTGAGGCATTCCGGTCACCATTTTGTCAATAGTTAGTAACAGAAACCAGAAATGTAACACAGACTTGTCGGAGAAAGTTTTATGCTATCAAAGTCACTACTTATCACTGCCTCAAACCATCTATGAATCCATTTAAACTTCAGCCCATGTGTTTCCATTTTCTGGCACTTTTGACTATACATGAACATGTGTAGTAGTGCACTTGACAGCAGCCCCCCCCCCCCCCCCCCGAGTTATTTTAGCCAGGTCTCTTGTTGAGCTGAGCTCCAGGCTCTTTTAAATCAAATTAAATTTGGCCATCCGGACGGCTCTGAGAGGCCCTTCAACAGTTCAGCCCCTACGGCAATCACTACCACAAACTCCCAAGCAGGCATGACCATTTCCAATGATAATGAATGAGAATGTCCAGCATGTGTCTATTCATTTATCAGACACACTCTGGTGCTTCTAAAAACACAGAAATGTGTAGTGTGGCACAGCTTAAACCCTGGCTGCTGCAACTTTCTATATCTAGATGTATTAGTCCCCAAGGTACGGGGCTAAAAGAGATCTTGGCTGCCACGCCCTATCAGACATGTCGTCATGGGCACAACGATAAAGGCCTTTTGGTTTGGATAGAAATGCCGATGCAGCAGAGAGGATGGGGGTAGGGGGTTAAAAGAGAGGGAGGGGGAGAAAGAGAGGGGGGGAGAAACAGGCCTGTCAGCAGAATGGCCTGTCCAACTAATGCCCTGCGCCGGGGCCCAAAATTACCTCCGACTCAATGATCCTATTCACAGCTTAGATGCCCCCCCTTACTGACATGCAACACAAAAACCCCGGCTAACCTCGCCGTAGTGCCAGAGTGCCTCTCTATTGTCTGCTCCATCACGTGATAACTCTAACTCAGACAGACACAAATAGTTAGAGAGAGATAGGGAGAGGCAGAGAGAGATACATTTAATTTGGAACATGGAATGCAGACTCCGTGACTGCACGGAGGCAAAGAAAATGTTCCACAATCTCGGCTTTTATGTCTGCCTTACCAAATGCACTGGCTGCAAGTGAGCAGGCTGAGAGTCCCTCTAATGTGCTGTAAATGTGACAAGACTGAAACCTCTCATGTGAGATCATCCCAATATATCACTCATTTTTTGGGAAGTGAGGTCACTGACAGTTGAGAAATACTCAGCATAGGTGTTTCATCAGTAGCTGTTGATAAATGCAGACCCAGGCAAATACCCCCGTGGCACCTACCCCCGCCTCCACCCAACCCTGGCAAATGGTACAACACCCCTGACAAAATGCATTATTCACAAATGAATGTGACCAGGTTTAGTAGAGTGGCCTACACTGGCAATGAGACAATGCAATATGAAGCAGAGGCTCCAACTGAATGTGCTGTGTGAGACATCCATGCCAGCACCACTGTTTATAAGATCCTGTTAAGCCCCAGTGGAGCTTGCACTCTGGTACCTCAATTCAAACTGCTGTGATATGGAATTCTAATCCAGTACAAAATTGGGGAGAACATGCCAAATTAAGGTCAGCGTACAGACTTTGTGCCCAGCCACAAAAATATCCTTCATATTGCATATTCTGTAATTGCCCAATTATTGCACAAACTGCTAAAAGCACAATACACTAATGTTTTTTTTGTTTTTTTAAACTAAGATCGCTGCTTGCTATGCGTAATTGCGCTTGCACATGTTATTTTCACTCTCTGTACTTTCTTTTCTAATGCTATTATTATGAATGCATATTCTACAGCTTCAAGGCTGGTAAGTAAACAAACACCAGCGTGCAACTTATTACATACTATTCATCAAAACTGTGGCTATTTCCATGTAGATGCCTAAAATGTGAGACCAAGTCTTTCAGTAGAATTGTTGTAGTAGCTGCTCTCTGATCTGATGCCATCAATAAAGATGAAATTTAGAGTTTAATGAAAATTTACTATACACATTTAAATTGTTAACTTAAAAACTACAATCAATTAC